TTCCAAGCCGAGCAATGTCCCAAGCCAAGCAGCGCCCTCACAATCAGCGCCGACAATCAGCGCCGACACACAAGCAGCCCGCAGGCACTATGTTAATGATTTTTGCCACCAACCTGCTATGCCCAACAGGGCGATTCACAATCACTTGGAAAAATCCATCAAAAAAAGGTGCCGGAACACTGTTCCGTTGCATTCTATGACAAAAAAAGCCCTGGTTTTATACTACTATAACTGTACATTCTTTCATTGAATCTATGTAGATGTCTATGTTTTACTATGTTATGGCGTTTATCTATTTTATTGTTGGTTTTATAGTGGAGCCTGTACAGGACTACAGGCACAGCTTATAAATTTAATGAATTAATTGCCCTATTTCTGCATGTAAGAAAAAATCCTAAGCACATTCAGTGGTTTAACACATTGTGCAGTTCTGGGATCTTAAACATAGTGCCCACTGGTCCCCATGTACCTGCAGCAACCTCTCTTGGCTCTTCCAGTTCCTGGACCCTCTTGATTTTTATTTTATTTCTTAAGGTTATTCTTCATTTCTTAGGGAGGCTGGCATGTTCCAAGCTTTCCTCCATCCATCTCTGAAGTTTTGTTGTTGTTCAGAAGAGTAGGATTTTTGCCCTTTTTTTTGGAGCACAGGTCTCATCTCTACCCTGTATTTAGTTTCCTGGGCATGTTACTTTCCGGAATGGAATGTATTGTGATTGGTCACTCCAAAAGACTGGAGGCCCCTGGTGCAGTTGGTCTTGAGGGGGTGATTCAGAGAAAGCAAGTCATGTTTTTTCCTTGAAAATGGCTCCAGACAGCAATTGTTTCTTTCTTTTAGCACTTGCATGTAGCCCTTCTACTTAGAACCAACTCAAAGTAGCTAACAGATTGCTATTTAAGGAATGTTTTAAAAGTGGATAAAACATTAATCATCAGACTAAATCAATCAGTGGGATACATAACAGTCTGAAAGTCAGTTATCTTTCTCACATCTTCTGGGAATATGTTTGGCAAGTTTCTGAAGGTTTGGGGTAGAGGTTTCACTTACTTTTCCAGCATTGTAAGTGAAAACTGCTCCTTCACTACTGGGGCTTCCTGTCTTTAGCCAATGTTTATATTAGTGGGCATAAGAAACTCTCTGTCACTAATATCGTGAGTTTCCCACCAGTTCTGTTAAATTACTTTATCTTTATTTATCTTTATGTACCACCCCATTCCCAGCAGCTCTGGGTAGATTACAAGACATTAAATCTAGTAAAATATTGAATCTAAAAGTTGAAGTGTATTCTGAAAGAGCATTGGTGCTATTTTTTAGTGAAAAGAACTGGAAATTGCATATTAAAGGATTAATAATAAATTTATCAGCAAAATTGGTAGCAGTAAAGAACTGGAAGGAGAAAGGGGATCTCCAGTTAATTGAATGGTTATTTGAAGTTTGGAATATAGCGGTTAATGATAGATTGATGTGTGAGATAAGGGTGAAAAAAGGATAGGTGAAGAAGAGTGATTTGAATAATATATAAGGTTTATTTATTGAATATGTATTAATAAAATGGGAGGGTAATAAATCCTCAAAAGATGTATTGCAATTTTGGTTGGAAGGTGGTATCTCTGAAAGAGCAGAAAAATGGTCCTGGTGGAGAGGTGCACTGAGGGTGATTTATGTTTTTCCTTTTTCCTTGATTTTGTGTATTCAGAATTTTTTCTTTATTACATGATTTTTGTATTTGCATTTGTTTACAATTTAAATATATTTTTAAAAATAAATACAAAACATTAAAACAACAGAGAGTAATATTGACTAATAGAACACATTAAAGAAAACTGACTTGAGAACTACTTTAACTCTCCTAGCAGCTAATATAAGAGGTTTCAGGTAGTTTTAATAACTCTGAAGAACAGTTATGTGCAAGGCATTTCTTCACATTGGCTCCCCTCGTCAAGCCCTGCTCCATGTGGACATCATTCGAATTTCACATCCACAGAACAAGATTGTGCCACATGATCTCAGGAGGTAGAGAGATGTACTCTATAACAGAATTCTGTGAGCTCTACGGGCCCAAAAGCAGCCTTCCTGAACCCAGCTTGTTCCATATTTTTTGACAGTAAATCCCGACCATTGCCCACGCTGCTCGGACCAGTGGTCCATGGATTGGCATCGGTCCATGGGAGATTCCCTGCTGGTCCCTGGGGATGCTGCATCCCATTTTTGTGGACTGGTGTGGGGGCAGGCTGTGCTCCACTCACATTCAGGGGGCGGAGGTGCGTCAGTCCTGCTGGGGGAGGCCAGGGAGTGGAGAGACAGCTTGGTGGGAGCTGACTGAGAGCCAGGCTGCACTAATTTTGGTACATTATTCTTTTGTTGGCATTTTTTGCTGCTTGGTTTCTGGTTGTTTTGGAGAATCTTCCCTTCCCTTCCCTTCCCTTCCCTTCCCTTCCCTTCCCTTCCCTTCCCTTCCCTTCCCTTCCCTTCTGGCATTGTGTTTGGGAAACTAATACATGGGATGCTGTAGTATAAGTATGGTGCTTTTTGTTTCTGCCTCAGTGGTCCCCAAGGTGGTTTTCCTGTTTTCATCTTTCCCCAGCTGTGGAAAGGTTGAAAACTACTGGCTTGGACTGATGGGAGCTTAGGTACAAAACATCTGGAGGGGTCAGGATGGGGTGAACTGACCTAAAGCATTTAAGTCTTTAATGTTGTTTGTGCCTATTCAGAATCAGGCTCCATAAATATCAATAGGACTTGCTTATTTGCCAGGTAAGTGAGTAGAGAATCACAATATCGCTGCCAAAGTAAGCATATTGAACTAGGCCCAGCAACAAATTAACTGAGTGCCAATCAAATTTCTTAGGGTGAGTTCAATTTATGTTCTGCAGCTAGCAATGCACATCTTCACCAGCAGTCTCTTCTAGCAGTTTTAAAGGGCTGTCCCACACAGAGTAACCACCAGGTCATAGTGCCTAATCTTCTCCTCATGGTACCCTAGATAACTAACCATTGTAATAATTGGAAGGTGGCTACTATAGAAGTGGTCAGAGAAAAGGCATTTGGTGTGTGGTATGCGCAGTGGATTAAACCGCTGAGCCGCTGGGCTGGTTGATCGAAAGGTCAACAGTTTGAATCCGCACAACGGGGTGAGCTCCTGTACTCCGTCCCAGCTCCTGCCAACCTTGCAGTTCGAAAGCATAAAAATGCAAGTAGATAAAAAGGTACCACTTCGATGGGAAGGTAACAGCCTTCTGTGCACTCTGGTGTTTAGCCATGGTGGCCACATGACCACGGAAACTCTCTGTGGACAATGCTGGCTCCCTCGGCTAGGAAACAGAGATGAGCACCACCTACAAGTGTGGACTTTAATGTCATGGGGAAACCTTTAACTTTACCTTTACATTCATTAAACTGGGAAATGTATCACTGTCGAAGTTGTTAAGGAGGGCTGCTCAGTGTCACGAAGAGTGAAAATTGTGTATATTGTCACATATAATATGCATAAAGTCATGTCTTATTTTCTGAAACTGCAATCTGGGTACACCCCATCTTAGTATGAACACATTACCATAGCAGTTCATACTATATAGGGCCAATCTACTCTTTGTTATTAGTGCTCATGATCTTCTGAAGACTTGATATTTCCTATTAGCAAACAGGCTGTCAAAAGTGAGCAATGTGGCATTAAGAATCTTGCCCTGTGTGCCACAAATCTGATAGTCAGTGATGTGACCGTGTTTGGTATATTTATTTTATTTATTTAAAGCATCGCTATACTGTTCGATTAGCACAACGCTCTCAGAACAGCGTACAGAAAATAATTAAAAATATACCATGCAACAATAATTTAAAAACAGATTTTAAATAGACTGACCTGTCATAAAACCTCCCTAGGACAATAAATTTGGCAGGAAACTATTATAAACAATAAACAAAGCAATACGATTCAATACATAATAACAACTATTCCAGATGTACCAAAACAATTTAAAAGCCAATATAAAACCAAATAGTTAACAGTTAAAATGGTGAGGCAGTAAAAAAGTTACAGCCTGGCACTGAAACATAAAGTTGGAGCCAGGAGTATATTCCTGGGGAACAGATTCCACAGACGGGGTGCCACAGCTGAGATGGCCCTTCCTCTTGTAGCCATCCTCTTTACTTCCTTCAGGAGTGGTTCACAGAGAAGGACGTCCATTGATGATCTAAGGGTCTGGACAGGTGTATATGGGAGAAGACACTCCTTTAGATATCCAGGTGCTAGGCCGTTTAGGGCTTTATACATTAGCGTAAGCACCTAGTCTCAGTCTCAGACTCAGTCAGACTGAGCTTGAAGCCATCCAGGTCCAAAATCTTATTTCTGCTATGGAGCTTAATAGGTAACTTTGGGCCTTTCAGTCTTTTTCAGATTAAACTCCCTTAGAGAGGGTTGTGGGGATAAAAAAGAGAATGACTGCATGCAGAACCTTGAAGATGATGGAAAGGTGGACTGTACATGTAGTACATAAATACATTTTATATTTAATATAGCAGAAGCTAATTCTCAACATGCTGTCACACCTGAGGGCACAGGGAGGGACCCAATTGTTTAATGGAACAAAACTTACCTTTTTTTATAGGGAAGAGATTGTCCTTCCATCATTATTTCCCCAAGTATATCCTTTATTTTCTTTTCTAAGGGGAATAGTTGCTTTCAAACCCAGTGTAGAAAAGCACACTTGAGGGCTCTGAAGGCATAAACTGCTCTTTTCCCATGTTGCTGGATTGTCTGGCCCAACAAGAAGAATCCTGGTGTACATCATTGTGCCATTTCAAATCCTGCAAGTATCTAAATCAGGACCAGTCAGCTCCTGGGCAAAGATACAGTCCAGAGATACAGGGATCAGAGCTCAGCAGTTGTTTTGAAATGACATCTCATTCAGAGCCATCATTTGTTAATGTCCGTTTGTATCAACAAGCTGAGGACATCTTCTGACAAAGGCAGATGTTCTACAAATCAAATGATCTTGCATTGCAGGCAAAGATGACTCAGTTGCCAGAGGCTGAGAAAGAAAAAATAGCTGAACAAGTGGCTGACTTTAAGAAAGTCAAGAGTAAGCTGGACGAGGAGATTGAAATCTGGGATGATACCAGCAATGACATCATTGTTCTGGCGAAGCAGATGTGTGTGATTATGATGGAGATGACAGACTTCACAAGGTAATTATGCAGGGTTATATATACACATGTGTGTGTGTGTGTGTATTTGTAAGAGCTAGTAGCAATTGTCATATTCAAGATAGAAAACACAAAAGAGCTTATAATGACAGGTGACAAGTGACTGTCAAAACTAATAGAACTGGAAACCGAAGTATTCAGTAGGAAGTACTGAAAATCCAAGATGAATATTTAAACCATTGTGTTGTGCTTGACCCAGGGAGAGGCAGTGTGATGTTTATCTTTGTCCTTTTCATTTTCCTTCTAATTTGCTTGGGGTTATTTTTCTAGATGATCCTTTTAACACTGTTAAACAAAGGAATGACCTAACGGCAGTGAAGGTCTGTGGTTAAAAATAAATCATATGAAAACCAGGGAGTCTTGAACTAATACAGCATTCGTTCTTCACTGTGGTTTCTGAGCATTGATTTATTTTTATTTATTATATTTATATTCTACCTATTTTTCTTTGAAGGAAATCAAGGTGGCTTTCCTAATTTCCTGCTTCCTCTCAATTTTATTCTCACAACATCCCTGTGAGGTAGGATGGACTGAGAGTCTGTGACTGGCTCAAGGTTGTCCAGTTAGTTTCATCTCCTGAGTCCTAGCCCAGAACTATTAGCCACTATACCACATGGCTGCCTAGATCAGCAACTTCTGATTGGCCTTATAATCATTGAAACATCATGGCTTTTCCCAATGAATCAGGGACAATACAGCTTGGAAAGGGTGATGAGCATTTGGAAGGTGGTGGTAGTGGGGAAGAAATCTATAATAGAGTATTATGGCTCTGAGGGATTTCTGGAGGGAAGAAATTATTATTAGGAAACCTTAAATTGATTGTGTAATAGACTTTGTGTAATCCTACTGGTGTGTCTGTGGGCTGTTGTTGCTTTAGTGAAATATTGTACTTTTCTCAAATTGGTAGTATATCAGGGCTAGGTCTACTGATCAGAGTACATCTAATAGCTATTTTTATACAAGTATGGGTTATATCTGGTTCACACAATGAAAAGCCAGAGTATAGGCTGAGTAAGGTTTGTCAATGAATCATGATTGTTAGCATTTGTATACCCTGCAGAATGATATAACTGTGAATTGTTAATTATGAATATACCAGATTTCAGAAACCATTCTTCCTCTACCTGGATTGTTTATGGTTAACAACCCATAGCTAAACCATGTTGGAGAGTTTTACATGTAACAACAACCTACATATCAACAACAGCCTATACTTCACCTACACTCTGGGTTGTCATTATGCATGAACCCAGCTTCCATCAGCAGAAAAGGGAAGGAGATGAGTTTTAAGGATTCCCTGTCTTCCCTGGATTTCCCCCACATCCCCCAAAATCTGCTCTGGGTGGTTGAAGGAACAGTATAGGAAATGGCATGGGTGGATGCATGGGGGAGGGGGAAATGGCCAAGAATTGCCTTTTTGTATTCAATTGATGGAAACCTCTGCTAGATTAAAGCATCTTCTGCCAGTTAAGTGCCACTAGTTTGATATACAAGAAGTCCCCTACATACAAACCTTCAAGCTGTGAACTTTCAAAGATGTGAACGTGCTTTTGTGTACTTTACTGTAATAATTGGGAGAGGTGAGTTCAGCAAAGTGTAACACAGGTTGTACCAACCTAATGGTAATGCCATGTGAGGAAGAACCCATGAGACAAACAAGGGTGCCCTTCTGCACTGCCATGTACTCGAAAGTATAGCTTCTGGAAGTCCTTCAGTGACATCAACAGAAGTTGTCCAGTGTCATTGTAAACCTATGACAGTATAGTACTACATAGCTGATCGTATTAGTTGGGTACTTAGGGTAATTTTGTTGGACTTATGAACAAATCGGACTTATGAACGTGCTCTTGGAACAGAACTCGTTCGTATGTAGGGGACTTCCTGTATCTTGATAACTGCAGTTGTTTCACTGCTGTTCACTCTTCCTTTGGATAAAAAGACCCTTCAAAGATATGAAGGCTGGAAATTGAAACTAGTGAGAATCTTTCTCATGGACTGCCACCTCCCATTCATCCTTCAAAAAACCCCACTTCTTGTTACTAGCCTTCACTTCAGCACACTGTATGTTAATATTGTATCTCAGCCTTGGCTCTGCTTAGTAATAAGTCTTAGCGATGTTGCAGACCCTCCGTATATTGATGCAAACGCGATGCCCTGCTGGCACAACAAGCAAAAGTTCTAGTAGTGGTGTAGCAGATTATATGGTTACATTATGTACAAAGAGACTGGCACAGGGATGATTTCCTTTCATTTTCTTCCATGAGACAGTGGAATTATGACTATGACTTTTTACCAATCCATGGCTGGCCAAATGGGGCTGTGTGGGAAGCTCTCCAAATGCACCAGGACTTGCAGTTAGAGAAGCTCAAGTAATTCATTAATTTTGCATGTTAATTCAGCCTTTACACACTTTGCAGTTTCAAAGCAAATCTAAGTTATCCAACAAAATTCACAGGTCCCTAAATTTTCCAGTAGATTTCCAACCAAAAATATCCCTAAAAATGTGAATAAAAGGGGAATGTATTCAGAACTGTGCATGTTGAAAATAACATTAAAATTAGGAAGCACTGTTGCAAAAATGTGTAGATTAGGCAATATTCTTTGAGTTCTTTGAAAGGGAAAAGGGCAGGATATAAATCTAATAAATAGCTAAATAAATTCATTTAAAATACCTGCATATGTTAGGAGAAAAGCATATAAATTTTGAAATGCTAAAACTGGGAAAATGAGAAACAGAAACCAAAAAGGGCAGATTCCTTTTTCACGACTCCCATTGTTCTCTTCCTAATGCATTCTCCTGCAACACTCAAAAAGCTACTCTGTAATGGAGAGGGATTCCCCCAGCCAACCTTCAATACAGGGCAAAACTTTGCAGCAATTATTATAGGAATTTATTGTTTTATTATTTGTTGTAGCGATCTACTGTTTATTTCATGGTATTTTATTGTAAACCACCCAGAAAGCCCTCTGGGCTATGCGGTGACAAATACATGTATTAAACAAACGAACGAACAAGCAGAAGTGAAAATTAGAGAAAACCTAACATGTTAATAAATTGGACACATGACTGAAAACACACATGAGCATGGCCAATGTGCCAACTTTTTGGAACTCTTTCTGGTGCAAGGGAAACAATCATTGTTGGCATTTTCCCCTTTTTTACTGGAAAGATGAAATAGCTCATAAGGAAAAGAGCTTTTTCTGTCCTTTCTGAATGCCCCAATGAGGAATGATTAAGATTACTCTCTATCCAAACAACTCCATACTGCATTTTCAGGACACTCTGGGAGAATTAGAAAGTCAAATAAAGCAATATACTTAAGATGTTGCCATATGTTCTACTTGGCCTGAATCAGTAACAGAATCTATGCAAAAAATATGCAAATCTGTGATGCATTTGCATGAGATATACTACTACTACAGCCCATCCTTACCTGCCATTGCATTTAAAATCTGCAGTCTAAAAGGAGAGTCTAGTACTAGAAAGCTTCCCCGAAAAATGTATAAAGCCTTCGAACATTTCACTGATTGGTTGTGCCACCTTTGAAGGATGTTCAAGAGGTACAGAATAAGGAAATGAAATCGAGCCAATTTATTTATTTATTTCATTTTCATACTGCCCAATAGCTGAGACTCTCGGGTGGTTAACAAAAGTTAAAAACACACAACCAAGAAAAAGAGGAAAAAATCAACATAGAACAGTAAAACCACAGTAATTACAACGGAATCAGCACAGAGGTACAGCAGCAGTACAGAATAAAATGCAATATCAAAACTAAAGTTTAAAAAGTGAACAGTTCAAATATTGGGAAAACAAAAAGGGTTTCACTTGGTGCGGAAAAGAATAGCGAGTAAGCCCCAGGCACACCTCTTTGGGGAGCTCATTCCACAGTTGGGGTGCCACAACTGAAAAGGCCATTCTCCTGGTAGCCATCGTCCTTCCTTCCTTCGGAAGGGGGTTCCTGGAGAAAAGCCCCTAAAAATGACCGTAGGGTCCACGTAGGAACATGTGGAACAAGGCTCTCCTTCAGATTATATGGCTGCAAGCTGTTTAGGGCTTGAATGTTAATACTAGCACTTTGAATCAGGCCCAGGCTTCAACTGGCAGCCAGTGCAGCTGGAAGTCCTAAATCCAGCATTTCTTTCCAACATCAGGAGTGCTCCTTTCACTAAGATTTTTTGGCTAGTGAGACGGGGAAAGGAATTTTGGCCAATTCTCCCGTACTGAACCCAACAGTGGAAGAGATGCGGTTTGCTAGTTGAAGTTAAGCTCAGTTGGACTAGACTAGACTAGACTAGGCATAGGGAACCAAACATTTATGACATGCAGCAGGGATAATTTGATCTTCATATATAGCTGAGAATACTGAGGAAGAGAAAGGGAATAAAGATGGCATGCAAGAGAGGAAATGATCCTGTGGGAGGGAAGATAGCAGCAGAAGCACAGGGGAGAAATAAAGTATCCAGTCCTGAATAGGTCGTTTGAAGGAAGGGGGCACAAGCGGTCCTCATCTAAAGTTCCTAAACCCTAGACCTGAAGTGACTCTTGCTTCTCCCTCTAAGAGTTCCCTCAGTCTGAGTTCCCACAGTGTCCTGAAAGGTCCCCAACCTTCTAGGGCTGCAAGAGGACTGCAGGCGGAGGCAGGAATTGGCAGAAATTGCCTCTTTGCCTTTTCTGCAAGCAGAAATGTTCTGCTGCTTTAGAAGCCACGGAAGGCAGAGCGTGGCTCAAGCCCATCGTGTTTTATGTTCACCTTCCATTGTATAATTCACATCACTGATTGGTCTCCCATTTGTGAGATTAAATGCATGCAGTGGCATAAAGAGATATTCTTCCTGCTCTCTGTGTTCCGTTCTCATAAGTCCTTGCAAGTTGGGAGCCAGCAAAACAGTTTATATCATGTCAATCTGTACAAATGCAATCTTTTATCTAGAAACAATGGGTTGGATCCCTTCTAAATTAGTCAAATTTATTTCACACT